GGGGTCACTAATCGTAACAGGTTCTTTCTAATATTTTTTATTAGTTGTCGTGTAGTATGATGGCTTTTAACAATTTTTTAAAGTTACTTGACTGGATTTAAATCTTGAGTTCAGGGGGGGGGGTCACTAATCGTAACAGGTTGTTTTCTAATATTTTATTTATTCATTTGCTTGCAGTATGACAAGTTGAATTATATTTACGTTATTGAATAGTGATCATTGCGTGGGGGTCAACAATCATAAGGAGATATTTTGTTATTGATTTTAAAAGTATTTTAACATTAATTGTCTTGTAGTATGATTATTTGAATTTGACTTAAAAGAAAGTTAATATTTTTTTTTTTTTTTTTTTTTTTGGAAGGTGAACTGATCCTACGCTTAAACCAAGTGAACTTTTTCCATACTTAAGTCAAGTGAACTGATTCCATACTTAAGTCAAGTGAACTGATTCCATACTTAAATCAAGTGAACTGATTCCATAATTAAGTCACCTGAACTGATTCCATACTCAAGTCAAGTAAATTGATTATATACTTAAATCAAGTGACCTGATTCCATACTAAAGTCAATTGAATTGATTCTATTCTAAATTCAAGTGAACTGATTCCATACTTAATTCAAATTAATTGATTCTATAGTTAAGTCAATACAACTGAATCCATTCTTAAGTCATGTGAACTGATTCTTTTTCTAAAGTCATGTGAACTGATTCTATATTAAAATTAAGTGAACTAATTTTATTCTAAAGTCAAGTGAAACGATTCAATTCTAAAGTAAAGTTAACTGATTCCAGTCTAAGTCAAGTAAACAGATTCTATTCTAAAGTCAAGTGAACTGATTCAATACTTAAGTCAAGTGAACTGATTCCATAGTTAAGTCAATACAACTGATTCTATTCTTAAGTCATGTGAACTGACAATATTCTAAAGCCAATGAAACGGATTATATACTAAAGTCAAGTGAACTGATTATATACTTAAATCAAGAGAACTGATTATATACTAAATCAAGTAAACTGATTCAATACTAAAGTCAAGTGAACTTATTCTATATTAAAATGAAGTGAACTGATTCTATTCTAAAGTCAAGTGAACTCATTCCATACTAACGTCAAGTGAACTGATTATTTTTCTAAAGTCACGTGAACTCATTCCATACTAAAGTCAAGTGAACTGATTCTATACAAAAGTCAAGTGAACTGATTCTTATCTTCAGTCAAGTGAACTGATGCAATACTAAAGTAAAATGAACTGATTCTATACAAAAGTCAAGTGACTGATTCTTATCTTAAGTCAAGTGAACTGATTCTTATCTAACGTCAAGTGAACTGATTCTTATCTTAAGTCAAGTGAACTGATTCTTATCTTAAGTCAAGTGAACTGATTCTTATCTTAAGTCGAGTGAATTGATGCAATACCAAAGTCAAGTGAACTGATTCGGTACTAAGATCAAGTCGCAATAGAATTGACACTTTCTCTTTCCCCAGTGTTTTTCAAATGAAATTCTTATTTTAAAAAAAAAGTTATTGTTATAAACGAAACAAAAAAAAAACACATTTTGTTTAATTTGTTCAATTGAACCGTTCAATTTATATTATCATACTTGAATTGCCCGAATCGCCAGAACTGAGTACCTACTTAGGATGGATTTCGTCTGAACATTGTAGGTTCACAGTGACATTGGAAGAAAAGCGTTGCCTCTTTCAATTGTTGCAGTAGAACAATACTTTGCCGTACAAAATTTTGAAAGGACAATACAACACAAAACAAATCATCTTATTTATTCTGTTTATTGTTACAATGCTTGTTATATTGCTGTGTTTTTACCGCTGTTAGAGCCTTGCTATTATTTATATAACATATATCTATTATATTATTTATTTTATATTTAATCTATATATAGTTATTCTAGCATTTATCTTATATAATGATGTTTAAAGTTTAGCAATGAAAACAACATGTGTTAACCCGTCTCAAATTGTACAGAGCATGATTATTGATAAATACTGACCAAAAATAACATTGTTTTATTTAACAGAATACTGACTATGCTGTGTTTACGTTTTTACGGAATGAAGTTGAATCCATGATACATTATATATCCATTCATCTCTTATATTTGATTCGTTGGGTTCGTTTATCATATATAATGATTTCTCACAAAAATTTGAAGTTCAAGAATGTACGTTCTTAAAGACAAGTGTCACGTCGATGCCAGGTTTGGCACGGCGCCACGGCCGCCACGTCTTGACACGTTCTCTGATGTCTGGGAAGAGCAGCCAGGGCAGAGGAGTGAGGAAGACTTTAGTCTGGGACATGATGCACGCCACGGTATAGAAGACCCATCTATAAATAAAATACACATGTCAATGAAATCATTATTTGAATTTTAACAGACGAAGGCAGCGGAGATGCTGGAAGTGAAAAGAGATGCACTTAGAATAGGGTCAATGCAGACTTTTAGACCGAGTACTAGAGACGATGGGACACGATAACATGACCTCTCACGCCAACTCCCTCCAGGCTTGTTACCGAAACCACTTAATCGTGTACCGAGACAAGATTCGGTATATGTTAACTTAAAAAAAAATAATGAATAGATTACATATTCCGTACATGCAGTTTGCTCAACATCAGTAACAAAAAAACGGTGGACATTTCCTCAGGATCCCTAAAATCCGAACAGTGGATAAAAGCCTAAAGTTTGATACGACATGGGGGGGGGGGGGGGGGGGGGGGTTCGCCGGTTCGCCAGGAAAGACGTTGCCACGCCCCACACAAGAAAATCATAAAAAAGTACAGAATGCATATCACCTGTAAGCGGTCTCAAACGGGCCGCCCCCAATGAACTGCCCCCCACCGGGATGGAGCGCCCTCTCCCGTCACAATGATTTACCCCCAAGGTTTATATTTCCATAAGAAATAAATTTAAAAAAAAGGATATAAATCTTTTGTATTTTGTTTCAAAAAAATAACTTCCAAAAAAATAACTTCCAAAAAAAAATAACTTCCAAAAAAATAACTTCCAAAAAAATAACTTCCAAAAAAATAACTTCCAAAAAAATAACTTCCAAAAAAATAACTTCCAAAAAAAATAACTTCCAAAAAAATAACTTCCAAAAAAATAACTTCCAAAAAAATAACTTCCAAAAAAATAACTTCCAAAAAATAACTTCCAAAAAAATAACTTCCAAAAAAATAACTTCCAAAAAAATAACTTCCAAAAAAATAACTTCCAAAAAAATAACTTCCAAAAAAATAACTTCCAAAAAAATAACTTCCAAAAAAATAACTTCCAAAACAACAACAACAAAAAAAAAACTTAAGAAGAAGAAAAGGAGTTTAAAAAAACGACTTATTTTATGATGCCTAAAATCTTTTAAAATTTTGATAGAAAGTTTAAGCGTTGCTTGTTGAAATTATGGCCAAGCTTTTCAGAGCAGGGTTTACGGTAAACATCAAGTGCTGTGGAGCTTGTGAAATGGTCCTAGGAAAAAAAGTAGTAGAATTAAAAAAAAAAAGAAAAAAAGAAAAAAAGAAAAGCAATAAATCTAACTCCTAATAATTTTGTATAAGATCATCCTCATGGTCAAAGATGAGTATACATTTGTGTAGGATCATCCTCATGGTCAAAGATGAGTATACATTTGTGTAGGATCATCCTCATGGTCAAAGATGAGTATACATTTGTGTAGGATCATCCTCATGGTCAAAGATGAGTATACATTTGTGTATGATCATCCTCATGGTCAAAGATGAGTATACATTTGTGTAGGATCATCCTCATGGTCAAAGATGAGTATACATTTGTGTAGGATCATCCTCATGGTCAAAGATGAGTATACATTTGTGTAGGATCATCCTCATGGTCGAAGATGAGTATACATTTGTGTAGGATCATCCTCATGGTCGAAGATGAGTATACATTTGTGTAGGATCATCCTCATGGTCAAAGATGAGTATACATTTGTGTAGGATCATCCTCATGGTCAAAGATGAGTATACATTTGTGTACGATCATCCTCATGGTCAAAGATGAGTATACATTTGTGTACGATCATCCTCATGGTCAAAGATGAGTATACATTTGTGTACGATCATCCTCATGGTCAAAGATGAGTATACATTTGTGTAGGATCATCCTCATGGTCAAAGATGAGTATACATTTGTGTAGGATCATCCTCATGGTCAAAGATGAGTATACATTTGTGTACGATCATCCTCATGGTCAAAGATGAGTATACATTTGTGTAGGATCATCCTCATGGTCAAAGATGAGTATACATTTGTGTAGGATCATCCTCATGGTCAAAGATGAGTATACATTTGTGTAGGATCATCCTCATGGTCAAAGATGAGTATACATTTGTGTAGGATCATCCTCATGGTCAAAGATGAGTATACATTTGTGTAGGATCATCCTCATGGTCAAAGATGAGTATACATTTGTGTAGGATCATCCTCATGGTCAAAGATGAGTATACATTTGTGTAGGATCATCCTCATGGTCAAAGATGAGTATACATTTGTGTAGGATCATCCTCATGGTCAAAGATGAGTATACATTTGTGTAGGATCATCCTCATGGTCAAAGATGAGTATACATTTGTGTAGGATCATCCTCATGGTCAAAGATGAGTATACATTTGTGTAGGATCATCCTCATGGTCAAAGATGAGTATACATTTGTGTAGGATCATCCTCATGGTCAAAGATGAGTATACATTTGTGTAGGATCATCCTCATGGTCAAAGATGAGTATACATTTGTGTAGGATCATCCTCATGGTCAAAGATGAGTATACATTTGTGTAGGATCATCCTCATGGTCAAAGATGAGTATACATTTGTGTAGGATCATCCTCATGGTCAAAGATGAGTATACATTTGTGTAGGATCATCCTCATGGTCAAAGATGAGTATACATTTGTGTAGGATCATCCTCATGGTCAAAGATGAGTATACATTTGTGTAGGATCATCCTCATGGTCAAAGATGAGTATACATTTGTGTAGGATCATCCTCATGGTCAAAGATGAGTATACATTTGTGTAGGATCATCCTCATGGTCAAAGATGAGTATACATTTGTGTATGATCATCCTCATGGTTAAAGTTGGATAGAAATGTATGAATGATTATCTTCATGATACAAGATGGATATAAATGTGCGTATTATTATCCTATTGGTGAAAGATTCATAAAAATATTCGCACTATTTGCCAACCACTGTGCATTTGTATTCCAAAACGATTTAATAGTAACCAAATACCTCGCAAATTTGGCCTAATATATCATTATATCAGTCAAGCTTTATGTAAATTTATCACACATCTGCATACATTTAGTCAGATCATGGGTGATATCAGCACATTTTAATGTAACATTAACACACACCTGAGCACGATTAATCAGATTATGAGTAATATCAGCCTATATTTATGTAAAATTATCATACCTTGGGACTATCTCCATCTCAACCAGATCAAAAGACATGAATGCAGTGGCGAAGTCGCAAACCAACGACACCCCAACAGCTGCCGTGTATCCAATATGACCGTCGACTTCCGGTCCCCGTTCAATGAGCTCGACCTCCATGTCCCCAGGGGATCCTCTCGTGAACCGTCGGCGCCTTAATACCACAGCCGTCACCATTAGGGTCACAGCCGTGAACATGGGCACAGCCGTGTCTAGGGATTTGATAACAAGTGTTTCATCGGATGTTGTGAACATACAGCCACTAAATGTGCTAGAAATATTGCTCGTGACATAATGCGAAAGCGAGTTCCTAACTCCTGGGATGATGACAAGGGAAGCCACCCAAGGTGAGATCAAGATGGCGTACGTTCCGAGCGTCGTTGTCAGACTTGTCAAACCCGCGCACGGCTTGAAGTCACAAATTCGGGCGATGAAAACTACGACCAGCAACACCAGCGTCCAGTTGGAGATGAAGTCCTGCAAGAGTTCCATAAGTTTGACGAAGTTACGTAAGTCACAGTTTAAAATATCATAACGTCTGCTAAGACGATCGATTTCTATCTCCATCGGCATGAACAGCAAGCAGTTCAGGAGGTGCAGCACGCAGAAGCTGCAGACGATTTTATTGCGCATGCGCGCGCGGAGATCCGGTGAAGTAAGTGTGGCCAGCAGGATCCACAAGTTTGGTAAGATTCCAAAAGCGATGGCCACGTAGTCGAAAGTGTCCATAACTCCAAGCAAAGTAAATATTAGAGATAGGATGTTCTCGAATGATTCTGATGAATCGCTGAATGTACTAGAAGAATTCATTTTTGACTTGTGAACCTGTTATATATATAAATATTTGTAGTTATATATATATATATATATATATATATATATATATATATATATATATATTTAATATATATATATATATATATAATATCAATTAAATAATAATATATATATATATATATATATATATATATATATATATATATATATATATTTAATATATATATATATATATATAATCTCAATGAAATAATACTAATGTAGTTTAATCTGAAATAAATTATAAAGCTTTGTACCAATATGAATGAGGTAGAAAACATTATTCCAATGCAGCGTGTGTAAAGGTGTAATAGGAAACAATGCCACACAGCCACGGAGTAGCAAAGCCAGCTTTATTTCATTTGAGCAATGTAATTACAAATTCTTGTATTTGAATAAAGTGTACCATAAAACACCTAGAAGACTGAAGGTCGTTCTTTTCTTTGTTACTTCAAACTGTAGGTTGTTCTGTTCTTTGTTACCTCAAACTGTAGGTTGTTCTGTTCTTTGTTACCTCAAAATGTAGGTTGTTCTTTTCTTTGTTACCTCAAACAGTAGGTTGTTCTGTTATTTGTTACCTCAAACTGTAGGTTGTTCTGTTCTTTGTTACCTCAAACTGTAGGTTATTCTTTTCTTTATTACCTCAAACTGTAGGTTGTTCTTTTCTTTGTTACTTCACACTGTAGGTTGTTCTTTTCTTTGTTACTTCAAACTGTAGGTTATTCTTTTCTTAGTTACTTCAAACTTTAGGTTGTTCTGTTCATTGTTACCTCAAAATGTAGGTTGTTCTTTTCTTTGTTACCTTAAACGGTTGGTTGTTCTGTTCTTTGTTACTTCAAACTGTAGGATGTTCTGTTCTTTGCTACTTCAAATTGTACGTTGTTCTGTTCTTTGTTACTTCAAACTGTAGGTTGTTCTGTTCTTTGTTATTTCAAACTGTAGGTTGTTCTTTTCTTTGTTATTTCAAACTGTAGGTTGTTCTGTTCATTGTTACCTCAAACTGTAGGTTTTTCTGTTCTTTGTTACTTCAAACTGTAGTTTTTTCTTTTCTTTGTTACTTCGAACTGTAGCTTGCTCTATTCATTGTTACCTCAAACTGTAGATTGTTCTGTTCTTTGATACTTCAAACTGAAGTTTCATCTGTTCTTTGTTACCTCAAACTGTAGGTTGTTCTTTTCTTTGTTACTTCAAACTGTAGGTTGTCCTTTTCTTTGTTACCTCAAACAAGTTCTGTTCTTTGTTACTTTAAATTGTAGCTTGATCTTTTCTCATAAAGAACTCAATAGAGATGACACAAAGAAATTAGAATGCACAGTTCTAATTAATATCAAATAAACCTTATTCCCAACGAATAGTTTAAACCAACTTTTGAAGTCTTGGGGCATCTGCGCTCTAAAGGGGGGCAATTAAAATATTTTGGGACAGGGGGGGGGCAATTAAAAGTTAAATAGTGTTTTTTTTTATTTTTAAGGACTCGCACTTATGTGAAACTGTGAACATATTTTACAATATAACTTGAGACCCACTGGTTTTGTCGTGGGAGGGAATCACCATCAATTACTTTTTAATTCAATCGCTTCTTAGAGTTTTTATTATTTAAAAAAGGAATGTACTTTTTTGGTAACATTTTCAGATATGGCTCCTGTCTAATATAGGCAATGCACTTAGTATTACTTTAGTTGAACCTAAGCATGTTATAAGAGTGCTTATAATCAATTATTATTTTAATAGACCATGTCGTTTTTCAGAGCTTAAAGATAGATTAACTTCAAAAATTTGTTTTGTTAAATTGCGCTGAAAATCTCAGAAATTTTACTATCAGAAATCGCATCATCTAAAATAGTATCATCAAAAATGGTATCATCAAAAATAGTATCATCAAAAATAGTATCATCAAAAATAGTATCATAAAAATAGTATCATCAAAAATAGTATCATAAAAATAGTATCATAAAAATAGTATAATCAAAAATAGTATCATCAAAAATAGTATCATCAAAAATAGTATCATCAAAAATAGTATCATCAAAAATAGTATCATAAAATAGTATCATAAAAATAGTATCATCAAAAATAGTATCATCAAAAATAGTATCATCAAAAATAGTATCATAAAAATAGTATCATCAAAAGTAGTATCATAAAAATAGTATCATCAAAAATAGTATCATCAAAAATAGTATCATCAAAAATAGTATCATAAAAATAGTATCATCAAAAATAGTATCATAAAAATAGTATCATCAAAAATAGTATCATCAAAAATAGTATCATCAAAAATAGTATCATAAAAATAGTATCATCAAAAATAGTATCATCAAAAATAGTATCATCAAAAATAGTATCATAAAAATAGTATCATCAAAAATAGTATCATAAAAATAGTATCATCAAAAGTAGTATTACAGACATATTTAAAACCCAGGTTCAACTGTGTCTTTACTTACTTTGTCTTAAATCTTACGGCTCCAACTAACAATCCGGAAAGCCGAAAACACAAAATATGACTGTGGCGTGAGACTCAAAAGTGTAATCCCATCACGGGCAGTGGTATCGCAGTAAAAGATCGCAGGTTCCGTCGACATTGGGGGGTGGGTAGTGGGGTTAGGGGGGGTGGTGGTCATCCACTTCATATTAGTGCTCTAGCGGGGTTGTTATGTGCAATCCACATAATATTTAGCGCAGTGGTGGGCGTCTCTGTCATATGAGACGAAAGAGACGCATTCGTTTGCAGGAAGTTCGCGGGAGATCTCTGTGCTGGGCTCTCAAACCAGGTAGTGGGGGGGGGGTGGGGGAGATCCTCCATGGCACTCAGTTCTTTCTCCATGGTAGTGGGTCTCACCAATTTTTTTTATTTTTTGACTCATGGATCCCATTTTTAAATCCATTACTATGGGGATGCCCATAAGGCCTGGAGTCTTACAAGGTTATATAGAGTTCGGAAGTTTCCATGGGCGTTTCCGCAAACCGATTGAGAAGTGCACGCGAAGTCATAACAGCTGTGCGGAGCACTTGTTGGAAACCGCTGCCCTGAAGATTCAGAATCAAATGTAATGATCCATAAAAACAAAATCATGACGTATAAAACCAATTACAACAATTTATCTCGAGTAGTCGGGAGGTGGGGCTGAAAACGTGAAAATCCTCCATTCATGTAACGTGATTTTTAAGAATCAAAAACAAGTGATCCCAGTTCTCTCGAGATCGAAGGCTCGCAGCCACCCCATTTCAGGGCGTGCCAGAGAGGAATGGACAGGGGTTGTTCGCCCCCCAAGGGATATATTTTATTTTGGTGGGTGTGTTGCCTTTTCTGTCCACTTCATGCATTTTATTTAGTTTATTTAAAAAAAAAAAAAAATCTTTCTGTATTTTCTTAAGAGTAGTCGGACTAGGGTCTGGAGTGTGGATTCAGTCTGGAGTTGAGAGCAAAGAGTCAGGAGCCGCGAGTGAGAATGTTATGAGAGACTCGGTGTAAATAAAGAGAAGAATTGATCTGATGGACTTGGTTGGAACTGAAATGTTTCCCCTTGGGATTAGACAATTTAGACACCCCTCGTCTTACAAAGGTGTGATGTATGACACGTTTGCCCCGTGCGTGAACTTTGCTTGACCCCTAGCACACGCGTTCAAAGATGGGCGTGGCCTATTCTTTTGATGTGTCGTGTTTACTACCGACTTCCAATTAAACATGGTTAGTATGTCTACTAGTATCTTATGGAACGTTCTCGATTGTAATAGAAAAGTAAAGGGGATTCTAAACGCGTCGGTAGACCCACATATATAAAGGATTGACAGGCACAGAGAGAGACGGAGATCGACAGATATTTTTAACTTCACGAGACGTGTATTATTCTTTGTGTACTTATGTGTTTACTCGCATTGATCTGTCATCATTATTCATTGGCACATTGTACTAACTGTGTTACCGGTACAAGATCTACCATACCGTAAGTTGATGATTTGTAGTGATATTTCTTTTGGTTTTTAATTGTATTGTCGCTAAATTAAATCTTATTAATTGTAACTGGTACTGTTTTGGGTGTCGTACTTTTGTTATTTTATTTTTCTATGGTATCGTCCTTTGTTAGGCACTGTTTGAAGGAGCCATAAATGTAAAATAGGAGATTAATTTCTCACAAGAGAAGCCAGTGTGTAAAAAAGGAGTGTACAGCTATTACTCACTATTAAATCCTGTCTAAATATGACTTTTGCTTCTCTTTGCCGTTGGCTCCCCTTAGATGTATGGACCCGTGGCGTGCGATCCCTTTCCACATCCGGTTCACAAAGCCCTTGTAATAACATACCAAAATGTAAACCAGATGTGTGTACGTATTAGAAATTCAAAAAACTGCTAGAGCCGACATACAATCATATTTTTAAAAGATTTTGACGTAATGGAAAATTTCATAGCCAGCACAACCCCATAGGTTCAGAATCAAACCGGTCAGCGATTAGGACGTGGGGGGGATATGACCACAAAAGCAATTAACTTCGCCCTGTGGAATTGCGCTCAGTGTCAGTAACTAATTAATATATAGATAAATGAATGTCTGCGCGTGTAGCCCGTTTGCGCTCCTATACCATTCATCCAATTGCGTTAAAAAGTTTAGTGTATTGTTGTCCGCACACATGCACATTTTTTCAAAATTATCACAACCATTTTACAATATTCTGTTTGTGGCCCAGGGGGGGGGGGGGGGGGGCTAAGTTCGTTTTGTTTGTTTCAGAAAGAAGCTATATAAGTATGCAGGGGTGGATGGAATTTTAATCAAATACAAAAAGCGACATTTCAGTTTGTTGACATAAAAGTATGTTTCTGAATTAGTACAAAGAATCTCTGATATATAATGCGCTTCTGATGTGCAATGCTTCCATTTGCGACTACTGCCTAACAAGCTTGCCGTTCCTATGCAGCGCATTTGGTATTGAGAGTATATTACAAATAATGCTAAATGTTTGAAAGAAAGTATGGTTCAAGCATGAGTGCACTAGCGCGCAAAATATAATTCCCGAACCGCACTCTGGTGTATCTCTATATACAGCCTGCGTGGTGGTGTTTGACCTTTGATGGTGAATTATATCTAGAGAGATTATTACAACCATTTTACAATAATCCGTCTGGAGCCGGGGGCCCCGAATTCGTATTTTTATAATATGAGCTAAATTAATATAATTTGAAACAGAGCTTTTGCATGGTTCTATAAATCGCTACCAGTGTGTGGACTAAATGTTGAAAATCCAGGGTTCTCACATGGACAGCTGTGTGTGGCGTGCTCGCTTCTCACATGGACGGCTGTGTGTGGCGTGCTCACTTCTCACATGGACAGCTGTGCGTGACCTGCTCACTTCACACGTGGACAGGTGTATGAGGACTGCTCATTTCTCACATTGGCAGTTGTGTGTGGCCTGCTCACTTCACATATGTACGGCTGTATGTGGCCTGCTCACGCGTCGAAAAAAACCTTCAAATGCATTTGTGTACACGGAAAAAAAACCCAGAAAAATATCGTATATATATAAAAAGTACTTTCTAAAACATAAGTAAAAAAACTAACTCTGTCTGTGAGTGGCTTGCGAGTACTCGTGAGTGGCATTGCAACGCTTGCAGAGTACTCGCTAGTAACATAGATAAACAAAGATGTATTTATTTATTTATTTAGGCATTTTTATATAGCGCTTATCATAAAGCTCTAAGCGCTTTACAATTATTAAAACATGTAAACTAAGTAAATACAAATGAGATACTAGGATAGTAACTACTATACTATAGAAACAATGAAAATGGCTATAAAACGAGGACACTTTGACACTTCAGGATCAATCCGAAACAGAAAATGAGGTAGGACAAGGAGGGTGCATCACAGGTCATAGGCGGACCTAAACAGATGAGTTTTAAGGGACTTTTTGAAAATGGACGAGGTTTCATTATGACGTATATGGAAGGGGAGCTGGTTCCAGAACGTGGGCCCATGGAAGCAGAAGGAGCGTTCACCGATGGTCTTAGTTTTAGTTCTTGGGATTGAGAGGGTTCTACTGTCAATGGAAGAACGTAGTTGTCTTGTGGGGATGTAAGGAAGCAACAGTTCAGAGAGATAGACAGGAAAGTGAGGGTCAGTGAACGAGTTGAAGCAAAGATTGGCAGACTTGTATTTGATGCGAGAGGATATTGGAAGCCAGTGGAGTTGCCGCATGTGTGGTTGAATGTGGTCATGTTTCTTTGATTTAAAAATGAGTCTGCATGCTGAGTTCTGTGCCTTCTGAAGTTTTTCTATGTGGTGTTGAGGAATGCCTGCGAGAAGAGTGTTACAGTAGTCAAATTTTGAAAGAATGAGTGAAGAGACGAGAGTTTTTGTGGCATCAAAGGAGAGGAGGTGTCTAATGGTGCTGATTTTTCTAATTTCGTTATATGCTGATCTGCATATATTCGTGACATGTTTGTCCATGGAGAGGGTGTCCGTAAGCGTGACTCCAAGGTTTCTGGCAGAGGGAGAGAGTGTGATGTCAGAGTTGCCAATAGATATAGAAGAAGGAGCGAATGGAGGGAGAGGTTTGTTTTGAGAGTGGATGAGAAGGATTTCCGTTTTATCATCATTTAGCTTCAGTTTGTTGCAAGTCATCCAACGCTTTACATCGTCCACGCACTCCTGTATGCGAAGGATTGTGGCATCAAGTTGATCAGGAAAGCAAGAGTCACTGATTTGAGTGTCATCAGCAAAGGATTGACTGGAAACTGAGTGGTGGCTAATGAGAGATGATAGAGGTTTAGTGTAGAGGATGAAAAGGACCGGCCCAAGGACCGATCCTTGAGGAACTCCAATAGACAGGGCTGAAGGTTTGGAAGAGCGGTTGGAAATAGAGACTTTTTGAGTTCTGTCAGAAAGATATGATTGAAACCAGTTTAAAGCTGAGCCAGTAAGTCCGAAAGAAAGATGAAGGCGGTCAAGAAGAATCTGGTGGTCAATGGTATCAAATGCAGCAGAGAGATCTAACAGAGTGAGAATAGAGAGTTTGCCATCGTCCATCGCGCGCAGGAGGTCACTCATGACTCGGACCAGTGCTGTTTCTGTGCTATGACCAAGTCGGTAGGCGGACTGAGAGGAAGGATAGAGATTGCGAGAATGAAGATAGCCAGAGAGCTGAGAGAGTATGAGTTTTTCTATGATTTTTGAGAGAAAGGAGAGGTTGCTGACGGGGCGGTAATTCTTGAGTGTGTTTGGATCAAGTGAGGGTTTCTTTAGGAGGGGCAGGACAATCGACCGTTTAAAAATGGGAGGGAATATGCCAGAGAGAATCGAAGAATTTATGATGGAGGTGAGTGCTGGGAGGAGGACGTCAAGGCATTCTACAAGCAGTGGGACGGGGATAGGATCGAGGGCACAAGACTTGGGAGCAGACCTGATGATGACTCGCCTCACCTCATCCTCAGTCACAGGCAGAAAACTATCAAATGATTCTGTCTGACTAACGTCCTCCGAGAACGGTGAGGAAGGTGTAGGGGTCGCGCTGTCTAGCTCC